GAAACTGCAGCTGGCTCAGCCTCTCAGTGAGCTGCTGAGAGCCTGAAATCTCCACAGCCCAGAGTTCCAATGAGCACTGGAGAGAAAGAGCAGATAGTCGGTGACTGAGAATCACCAACTCTCTGCTCACTGAAGAGAACTGAGCAATCAGTGGTCTTTGACCACTTAGTTTTCGTCTTAGATTCAGTGGGAGACAGCTGCAGCTGAGATTGGTGCTGCTGCCATCTAGATGTGCATGATTGTTTAAATTGTTGTAGTTTGATTGCTTTAAAAAAACTATACTTCTCTTTTAAAATGGAGGTAAACCTCTGGTAATATGAACAAAGCATATCCTTCTACAGCGTGTACTTATCTCAATCCAGAGTACTAAGCACAATTTCTGTATGCTGCCTCATTCTGCTATCTGCATGAGTCATTTTTGACATGTTTTTTCTGCCAGCAAGAGGTAAAAAGGGGACAAAAGAGGGATCTCTAGCACAAAGCCTGTGATAGAAAACCTCATCTCTCATCCTGTGTGCTGTGTAAAGGGGGGGGGTCACTTCCCTCCAATCAGCTCTCTCACTGAGCTCTGCAGAGTGTAATTTCAGCTCCCTGCCCCCTGCTTTCTGAAAGATCAGAATAGCTTTATAAACTCTATACTTTGAACTGATGTAGGGAAGAGATGGCTGCAAATAAACAGGTAAAACGTATGTAGGGAGATTTTTTTCATTTCTGTGTATCACCTGAGGCTAGTCACTGGGTATAAGTAAGGGTTTACAACCACTTTGAGGTCAGTTATAAGTATAGAGTGTGGAGATTTTACTGATACATTGTGCCTGGTGCACACAAAAATATTGTCAGCTTCCCCACACCCCATGTATATCACCCTCTGTTCATGTTTGTGAATAACCTTTACTTTAGCTTAAATTTTGTATATTGTGAAACAAGGAATGTATGTCAAACTACTGATCCAATTCATGTTCAGATGTATTTTTCTGAGCTATATGATATGCTGCTGGGACAGAGATATGATGGCTTTATGAAGGGAATAAGCATGCCATGCACTGTGGGCTGCCATTTGACCTCAAGGTGCCCCAGTTGTTATAAAAATCCTTCCTAGAAACACCCTTGCAGTAATTTTTGTTTTTATTGCCTTTTATTACATTTTTCACAGTACAAATAAGCACTGAAACGACAGTTCAACAATATGACCACTGAACAGCCTTCAAGATTGCCTGGAGGAGGTCAGCACAATTTAGTGTGCATTTTCAATTAATATAATGGAAATTATATGCTTTTTCCTCAAAATGTAATACACTTTACAATAGGGCCGCAGAAGTAGAAAATAGGCAAGTGTCTAGTAATAAATACTGCTCGTTAGAATTCCAATTGTTAGATAGACATCTATTCTAGCACAGGCACATAATTTGACTTATTCAAAAGCTCCTTGATCTATTTTCTAAATTAAGGGTGGTTTGAAAGTCTTAGTTCTTGATGCCTTAACAGAGCCACAACTTTTCGAAAGTTCAAACGTTAAGCATGTAAGAGGTCTTAATGGCTCCATCTCTCTGACTTTATTCTATTTTTGCTTTTAGAAAAGTACTTTAATACTTTAGTGTGTCAAAGATTGGTCTTTTTTTGTACCTTGCTACTTAATCTGCTTTTCTTAATACAATGATTTATGGGCAGAGAAAATGGGATAAATACAGAATGCTAGTTGTATGATTTATTTATGTGTATTTTTTAAATTGATCATATTTTCCATAATAAGTACGGTAACACATAAGTACAGATAATGCAGGTTATCTACTATCTGCAGTACTTGGACAAGGAAAAGGTTTTCTTTCTGGGTAATACATTGTCCTGAATGTCCATATGTTTATAGTGTATCCTAAAGTGAAAAATATACACTACAATATTGGAGGCCTGTTCCATTCACAAAGGCACTATTTCAAGAAAGATGTTTGGTGGTTACTATGGAAATTTGAGGATTGGGACCAGATATTCATTAATATTTGTTCAATTGTTTTTACATATATATATAAAAAGTGTCGAAAGGCATCTCTACCTTCTACAAATATTTAACGGATCTACAATTTACATTAAAATCTACCTCTTTATCCAATTGGGAAAAAACCCTAGCAGAAACCATCCCGACCCACACATGGACTACCGCATTTAACTGCACTTACAAATCCTCTCACTGCAGCTCACATTGGGAATCCTACTTAAAAATACTTCATCAATGGTACCTAACCCCTGCCAGACTTGCCATTTTCTACCCAAAACATTCCCCTTCCTGTTGGAGACAATGCGGGGACGTAGGCTCCACTCTTCACATACTATGGTCTTTCAAATCCATTAAATCCTTTTGGAATAGTGTATTCCAACTAATAGCCTAACTTTCCAAAAGAATGCTAACTCCAAATCTGGCACTTGCACTCTTACACATCAGGATTAACAAATTCCCATATACCTCCCGTACCATCATGGTCCACATCCTTTTTGCAGCTAAACTAAATATAACCTGACTCTGGAATACCACCACAACCCCTTCCCTTCAATCGCTAATCTCAGATCTTAACTTCCAATGCAAAATGGAAAAAAAAGACTGGCCACTAATAACTCCACCCAACATAAGTTTAATTCTTTATGGTCTAACTGGTTACAAAATCCTAACTGCTCCGTAAAACCCTGATACTTTACAAACAATCATTCAACCTATCCACGTCAGACTGGTACTCCTCCCCCATCCTTCCTCAACTTATCCCCTCCCCCACTACCCCCCTCCTATTATTCTCCCCTCTGTTTAATTCCCTTTACTACTTACTACTCCTCCTCACGGTTCAGTCCACCCCAAGCATACCTCTGATGCTTATGCCGCAACTCTAGTTCCAACCCCAGCCAAAAGGTGGGGTAACATTCTAATAAAGTTATATTGTATGCATACAATTTATACTAAACCAAATGTTTCTTTCTGTTAAAAAATTTTTTTGGAAAACTTTCAATGAAAATTATTGAAAATAAAAAGTGTCCAAGGCCCTTCATGATATTTGCCAACTGTAAAGAAAAGTACTAATTACGCACAACATTTTACTTAACGTTAAGCCAATCCACCAACCTCCCAGGCACTATTTATTGAAAAGTGTTTCAAGTTGATCCCAAGAGATCTTCAAACATCCTGTGAGGTTTACTTTACTGTCAACAACTCCATCAGGATCTCATGTGAGCCTGATACAAGCTTGGCCAATCTATACTGACCAGAAGATAAAAGGTGAAAAATGTATAAGCAAAGGTTACGATTGGCTAAAACAGCTTTAAAAAAATAAGCAACTCTCAACTTTCAGCATTCAAATATATGTAATTTTTCTGCCACCCCTCACCCTCAATTGATCCAGAGCTACCCTATTGGTGTCAAAGTCAAACTCAAGGGTTTGCATAAAACTTTATTTTTTCAACAGACAATCTCTTCGCTTTGGTTTATGACAAGTTAACTTTAAAGTTGGAGAAGCACAGCTCTACTATCTGCCACATTCAAGGTTTGCAGTGGATTGGGACCAGATATTCGTTAATATATAACAAAACTTTATTTTGTTAACAGACAATGTGTGGTGGAGATGGATGATGGATCTGGGAGTTCTGGTAGATAACAAGCTTAACCGCCTCCCGCCCGCCATATAGTAATATGACGGACGCAAGGTGGGACTCTCGTTCTGGGAGGGCGTCATATGACATTCTCCCATTCTAACTGCACATGCGCGGCTCCCGGAGTGCGCGCAGTTTTTACTCACATAGATATGCTTTCTTCTCTCTCTGGAGCGGAATGTGCCCAGGGAGAGAAGATTGCATCATTTCCTGTGCCTGTGTGCTGTAAACACAGGTACAGGAAGATCTCTGATAGGACAGTGATCAATCAGCAGATCCAGGCTGAACATAACTGGCCTGAATCTGCTGATTGATTAGTGCAGCACTCTATCACGGCACCGCCAGGTTGGCGGACACGTGCGCCCCTGGCCCGTGATCACGGCGGGAGTGCGGATCAGGTATATACACGTGATTTTGCGCAGTGCGCCTGCCCCGTAGCAGTAATCCTTCTATAGGGCAGAGCTAAAGCAGATAATAAATTTGCTACACTAACACCAGTAGCAGAATAGAGGGTGCTACACTTTTCCTATGGATCACAGACGTGCAGTTCTTTCTGCACTTCTGTGACCCATTTTCAGCCGACAGTGGGCTAAAGCTGCTGTTGATTGATGTAACTCAGCCAGTCCAGGCTCAGGAAAGATCACGACATTACAGTTAGGATGCACTCACTCAGATGACTGAAACTGCAGCTGGCTCAGCCTCTCAGTGAGCTGCTGAGAGCCTGAGTCTCCACAGCCCAGAGTTCCAATGAGCACTGGAGAGAAAGAGCAGAGAGCCGGTGACTGAGAATCACCAACTCTCTGCTTACTGAAGAGAACTGAGCAATCAGTGGTCTTCCATTTCGTTTTCGGTCTTAGATTCAGTGGGAGACAGCTGCAGCTGAGATTGGTGCTGCTGACATCTAGATGTGCATGATTGTTTAAAATGTTGTAGTTTGATTGCTTTAAAAAAACTATACTTCTTTTTTAAAGTGGAGGTAAACCTCTGGCAATATAAACAAAGCATATCCTTCTACAGCGTGTACTTGTCTCAATCCAGAACACTAAGCACAATTTCTGTATGCTGCCTCATTCTGCTATCTGCATGAGTAATTTTTGACATGTTTTTCTGCCAGCAAGAGGTAAAAAGGGGACAAAGGAGGGATCTCTAGCACAAAGCCTGTGATAGAAAACCTCATCTCTCATCCTGTGTGCTGTGTAAAGGGGGGGGGGGGGTCCCTTACCTCCAATCAGCTCTCACTGAGCTCTGCAGAGTGTCCTTTCTGAAAGATCAGAATAGCTGTATAAACTCTAGCGCGGCGATCGGCGGTTCGAGGGACACAGCGGATCACCGATCCACGGAAAGAGCCAAAGATGTCGGCTCGGTCATGTGATCAGCTGTGCCAATCACAGCTGATCACATGTAAACAGGGAAATGCCGGTTATCTGAATTTCTCTCCCCACGAGCTGTCACGCTGACAGCTCATGAGGAGAGGAAAGCCGGTAATCGGTATTCCTCGGAGGGGACATATATACAGATCATCAGAGCACTGATGATTAATGTTCCCTGATGATCTATGTATCCCCAGCAGTGCCACCTGTCAGTGTCCATCAGTGCCAGCTCTCGGTGCTCATCCATGCCACCTGCCAGTGCCCATCAGTGCCACACCAATGCCACATTTCAGTGCCCATCAGTACTGCATCAATGCCACATATCAGTGCCCCTCTGAGCTGCTTTCAATATCACTCATCAGTGCCAGTCAGTGCCACCTATCAATGCCAGTCAGTACCACCTATCAGTGATGCCAATTAGTGCCACCTATCAGTGCCAGTCAGTGCCGCCTATCAGTGCCCGTCAGTGCTGCCTATCAGAGCTGCCTAACACTGCCAGTCAGTGCCACCTAACAGTGCCAGTCAGTGCCGCCTATCGGTGCCAGTCAGTGCTGCCTATCAGTGCCACCTATCAGTGCCGCCTATCAGTGCCATATATGAGTGCTGCCTTTCAGTGCCCATCAGTGATGCCTGTCAATGCTCATCAGTGCCACCTACCAGTGCCTCCTCATCAGTGCCCATCAGTGCCACCTATCAGTGTCCATCAGTGCAGCCTATCAGTGCCCATCACTGCAGCCTTATTATAGCACATCAGTGAAGGAGAAAAATCCCTTACTTACAACATTTTAACAAAAACTAAGAAAAATAATTTTTTTTTTCAAAATTTTCAGTGGTTTTTGGTTTGTTTAAGAAAAATAAAAAAAACCCAGAGGTGATTAAATACCACCAAAATAAAGCTCTATCTGTCACAAAAAAAAATGATAACATTTTCATATGGGTACAGTGTTGCATGACCGCGCAATTGTCATTCAAAGTGCAACAGCGCTGAGAGCTGTAAATTGGCCTGGGCAGGAAGGGAGTATAAGTGCCCTGTAGGCTAGTGGTTAATAATGGCATGCAATGCCAAGCTGTGGTTTCTAAAGTGAGCAAAATCCTCTCTTGTATGAAAAGAGGTATAGACTCCAGAGAGAGATATTATATTACCCCTGTACAAATCATTAGTAATAACTCATCTGGAATATGCAGTTCAGTTGTGGGTACCAATTCACAAAAAGAACATTGGGGACTGGAGAAAAGTACAGAGAAGGGCATCCAAACTGATAAGAGGCATGGAAGAGCTCAGCTATGAGGAAAGATTAGAGGAACTGAATTTATTCTCTCTTGAGAAGAGGAGATTAAGGGGGGATATGATCAACATGTACAAATACATCTGTGATTCATATAGTGAACTCGGTGTAGAGCTATTCACCCTGAGGTCATCACAGAGGACAAGGGGACACTATTTACGTCTGGAGGAAAAGAAATTTAATCTCCAAACACTGAAAGGTTTCTTCACAGTGAGAGCTGTGAAAATGTGGAATAGACTCCCTCAAGAGTTGGTTCTGGCCAGCTCAGTAAATTGCTTTAAAAAAGGCCTAGATTCTTTCTTGGATACACAGTTGATCCAGGGAATATCCAATTGCCTCTCAGGGGATCAGGAAGAAATGTTTTCCCGTGAAGGAGCAAATTGGATCATGCTTTGCTGTTTTTTTTTTTGCCTTCCTCTGGATCAACTGTGGATGTAGAATTATAACTTTTTTTTTTCTATGGTTGAACTGGATGGACTTTTGTCTTTTTTCAGCCAGACTAACTATGTAACTAATCTGTCCGCTTTGGTTTATGACAAGTTAACTTTAAAGTTAGAGAAGCATAGCTCTACTATCTGCCACATTCAAGGTTTGCAGAGGATTGGGACCAGATATTCGTTAATATTTTGTTCAATTGTTTTTACATATATATATAAAAAGTGTCCAAGGCCCTCAATGATATTTGCCAACTGTAAAAAAAAGTACTGATTACGCACAACATTTTACTTAAAGTTAGCCAATCCTCCAACCTCCGAGGCACTATTTATCGAAAAGTGTTTCAAGTTGATCCTAAGAGGTCTTCAAACATCCTCAAGAGTTTGTTTAAAACTTTATTTTGTCAACAGACAATCTGTTTGCTTTGATTTATGACAAGTTAACTTTAAAGTTGGAGAAGCACAGCTCTACCATGTTTTCAGTCTAGGACATGAGTTTCAATAAGAAAGAGTAATTACTTCATTTCTTTGTTCATTCATGCAGTATAAAAAAAACAGTAAATAACCTTGTTACTACCATTTATGATGAAATAAATAATTGTCTGCATTATTCCAATACTTATATGCCTCCCTTTAAATGAGTATTGCGATGCACAAGGGTACCCAGCTTCTCAATATTTAACCTTTTGTATCAAAACCAAAATGTGCTAAGTGTTTGATTTACTAGAGAGTACAAAATCTGGAGTAGCTCTGCATAGAAACCAATCAGCTTCCAACTTGTTTGTCAAAGTTTATTTAAGCAAGCTGAATTTAGAAGTTGATTGACTACCAAGCACAGCTGCATCAGATTTTGCACTCTCCAGTTTTAGTAAATCAACCCCTAAGCGTCTTACGCATACAATAAACGCACACAATCTGCAAGTACATAAAACCCACAATTGCCCCAATGACAAAGTAGTAAAAAAAAAGTTAATTTCATAACTGCATGCAAATAAATAAATATTCAAATGAATAAAGAGTCTATGATATATACAATGAGACCTTCGAAATTAAATACAATAAATTTCAAATTGTTTATTCTGTGATGGTTTCATTGAATATTTCTCCCTACCTGTTTTATCTCCAGCACTTCACCAGGGAAGTCTTAATTAAGACTTGTTGATGAAACATGTAGGAAAATTGAACATAGTGCACTGTGGAAGATATAACTATAAAAATAAGATTCTTAGCACTATGGGATTTAACACTTAACAGATTAAATATTGAGAAGGGGCACAACCTTATATATCAAATATTCAATTGAGAATAATGACTGGGGAGATGGAATATTGAATCTCTCAAAGGCTCACAGTCCTTCAGCTTTGCAAATGAGGATGAAAGAAGCAGTCTCTTGGAATATGTAATAATTACACATGAGATTCCTTCTATGATTGCTTTTTGTAAATGTTTTGTTTCCTTTCCTTACACCAACACACTGCCAAGAGAGAGAAACTTTGTGAAATACAGAGCTGCTAACATAGTCACAGCATAGGATGAAGTGCTCAGTCCAACACTTTATGTTGGTTTCACTGCTGAAAACTACAGTTCAGTGGTTTCATTGCTCAGAACATCTACCTTGTTGGTGCTGAAAGTACTGGTATAGCTCAGTGTGGACATCTGCACTAAAATTTTTGCTGGTATTAAATTATACTGATTACTGTAATTGTCTTATAAACTAAAACACTAAATCATTTGGCTTATTTCTAACTACTGAAATACATGGTAGCGCATGCCAATTTTTGTTACCTACAGTAATATTTTTATGTTCTACGGCCTTATCATCAACCTTCATATCTAAGCAAAAAATATGTTTCATATGCCTAAATTAAACTAATGTAAACTTGCACGCAGGGGCTGACTGACCATTTGGAAACATGGGCACTGCCCGAGTGCCCGGGGTCAGTAGGGGGCCCCATGAGATGCCCCTGGTACCTTTTTCAAAGGATTTTTTGAGCTTGGGCAAGGACACAGGGGCCCCATGATCCCCTATTGCCCGGGGGCCCCATGAGTTGTCAGTCCGCCCCTGTAAAATTGCACGTGTTTCTAGCAACATTCCTTTTTTTTTTTTTTTTTTTATTTTTTTTTATTCAGACATTTTTTAACACGACAGAGCAGAAAATCCAGATTCATCAACATAGTACAGGCATATAGGCATGGTGGAGGCAAAATACACAAAAACATTTTTGTGTAAGCAATATATCATGAGAAAATAAGATATCATTCCCACCTTTCCTTGATATCAAACATGAACAGGCAAGTTGGTGGGATGAAGCTCGTTAGTCCACAAACTGCCACAAGAACTCGAATGTTGGACCTATAAGAGGATGACTCCTGAGATCTGAGTCAAATTCTGGTCAATCCCTGGGCAAGCAACATAGTGTAATATCAGTACAGGATTGTTCCAACTATGGTGTCCGTTTATCAAGCAGTGGTAAATGACTGCTGCTGAGTTCTCTTGCATTCTCAGAGAAGACAGCTCTCCTCTGAGTGCCTGTTTATGAAGCGGTGTAGATTGTTTCTAATGAGAAGAGAAGCGATCTACAAACGCTTTGAACGCTGGAAAATGGCTGCTGTTACTGTAATCTGATGAGATATAGCAAGATTACAGTAACAAGCAATCAGTAAAACACACAGCCGCCAGTTTATTAAGCAGCAGTAAATTACCTCTTCTGAGTTGGCAGCTCTCCTCAGTACACACAACACACACACACGATAATAAAAAAAAATTGTATATATATACTGCATATATCTCTCTCTATCTATATATATATTATATACATATACAAATATACATATATACATACATTGCCAAAAGTAATGGGACACCCCTCCAAATCATTGGAATCAGGTGTTAGAATGACCTCCATGGCCGCAGGTGTAAAAAATCAAGCACCTAGGCGTGCAGACTGCTTAAACAAACATTTGTGAAAGAATGGTCCAATCTCAGGAGCTCAGTGAATTCAAGTGTGGTACCGTGATAGGACGCCACCTGTGCAATAAGACGTATGCATATAAATATATGTACATCTACAGGATATCCAATTATGTCATGCAGAAGGGAAGAGATACAAAAAATATCTTTAATCATAAAAATGTGTAACATCCCACTCATGGTTTAACAAATGAAAAAGGTCACCTCCGCGGGCTGGAGTCTTTACCTTTTCTATCACTTGTACATTGACTGCTGAGAAATCTCCTGCATGCATGGAGGTGAAGTGTTTAGCTACATTGGTGAAGCGATTGTTCCTAATATTGCCCAGATGTTTGTGGAATCTATCTTTAAGCCTTCTACTTGTACGCCCCACGTATTGGATGTGACAAACTTTACATGTGATCAAATAGATCACATATTTTGTGTTGCAATTAAAGTTCTTACCGCTATTAGAGGAACAAAACTCTTCCCCTAACAGTAGATCGGAAAATGACAGGCAATCTGAAATGCCACATTGAAAGTTCCCTTTGAAGTGAAGCCATGTCGTAGACTGATTAGACCTGGAACAGAAAAGGCTAGGTGACTACATGTTGGCCAACGAGCAAGCTCTCCTGGACATATTATTGACTCCATCCCTTAGAATGTCAGAACAGACAAAGTCATCATGTAAAATCGGCTAATATTTGCTCACAATGCTACCGATCTGTTTGAATTTCAAGCCATAAGGTAACACCAAAGTAGGTACA